GGATATAGCTCACTAGCAGCCTCGCACCGAGGACCTATCCACGTCATCATTTACCCAGAATGCTTTGCGTGTAAATAAAATGGCTCCGTCCGTATTAAAATATATTTTTAAAAATTTACAGAACTAAACAGCCTACAGTATTTTTACAGTCTTTATTTTACAGTTAAAATATATGTTTGTCAAATAAAGTTTAATGTTACAACTAATCATGGATCCCTTTAAGCTGAGGCTCGAGGGCAACAGGCACGAGGAGGATTGGTTCTGGGATCTTCATAAACAGAGAAACAACACGGTTAAGTAACTCAGGTAAGATTACTCAGACTGAGCGGCTGTAACACTACCGTGAAGTGATGATGCTCCAGTGAAGACCAGAGCACAAAGGAAGCCTTTTAAAGCCCAGGAGCCAATCAGAGGAAGAAGCTGCAGCTGCAGGCAGTCAGCACCGGGGTCCAGCCAGAACCACAGATCCTCACACTTTGATGTTTCACCTTTACATTTGACTAAATATGAAACGTCACATTCCTCATCTCAACAAACACTAACTGAGCTATTTGGGATATCCTGCATAGAAACAGAGTTTTAACACGTTTTCTTATAAGCGCTGAAACTACATGGACTAACTCAATGTGAAATAAATAATACAGAAATTCTATTAAATTAAAAGTAAGAGAGTTTTACTCACTGATGCGTTGTGGTGAGTAGCTTCTGTCATGAATTCTGAACTTTCCCACTTTCCAACAGGGAATTCCCACTGATCCAAGTCCACAAAACACATGTAGACTGACTGGGCAAACTCTCTTAGCCCCTTGAGGACCATTGCAATGGTAAAAAGCTGGTTTAGTGTTTCACAGCCAGGAGCACAGCTATGAAATGACCAGTGTTTCTTGTAGTAGACATATTAAGATTATTTAGCTCACATGTAGAAGATTAAAACACACCAGAATAATAACATTTTCTGCAAAAACAGAGTCAGTGTCATGTAATGAATGATTTTACTGTAATGTGGTGATGGAATAGCTAAGTTGGTAAAACTAAAAGAAACAGGACACTAGCTAACTGGAGAAAAATACTACCTAAAAGCTAAAAGAGGCAAGAAGCTAGTTAAAAGTAAGCAAAATAAAAGCTAAATATATCAAAATACCAACTAAACACTAAATGTAGCAAAAGGGTAGTTAAAAGCTAAAAGTAGAAAAATGATAGAAACTCAGACTAACCAAGTGCTAGCTAAAAGTAGGCAAATGCTTGTTACAAATAACATTATGTTAGCTAAAAGTAGCAAAATGCTAGCTAAAGCTGAAATGAGTAGAAGGGCACCTGAAAGTATGAAAAGATTAACTTTAAGCCCAACAGCTTAATAATGTAAAATAAAATGCAAAAGGCTAGCCGAAGACTTAAAGTAACAAAAACTTAGCTAAAAAAAATAAAAAAGCTAGCTAGATGCTAAAACTAGCCAAAGGCTGGCTAAAGCAAAAGTAAAACACACAAATAAAAACTAAAAGCCAAAAATAACAAAAAGCTAGCAAAACACTAAGAGTGTCAAGAAGACGGAATTATGCTGAAGCAGATTTAAAAAAGAAAAGTGTTTTAAAAGAAAAATCCCAGTGTAATTATGGGTCAAGTACTTGTACTTACAGTTACATACAGCGGGTAAAATAAGTATTGAACACGTCAACATTTTTCTCAGTAAATATATAACTAGAGGTGCTAATAACATGAAATTTTCACCAGATGTCGGTAACAACCCAAGTGATCCATACATACAAAGAAATCAAAACATAAATGGCCAGAAATGAAGTTATTTGTAATAATGTGGAATGGCACAGTGAAAAAGTATTGAACACGCTTACTGAAATTTATCTAATACTTTGTACAAAAGCCTTTGTTGTCAATGACAGCTTCAAGACGCCTCCTGTATGGAGAAACTAGTGGCATGCATTGCTCAGGTGTCCAAGAGCCAAGTGGTCCTTGGCTCTTGGACAC